CTGCATCGTGATGTCATGTGCTTTTAACACTCTTGAGATCCTTAACAACACTACTGACAGATTACAAAACAATGGCATTGTTATTGTAATTTCTATCACATTTTTAGGTTTCAATCTGAAGCGCCCCCCCCCCCCCCCCCCATGTTCAGCTCACCCTAGGAACAGATAGCTGTAAGTAACCAAACTGTTCTAGAGGAAGCGTTGAAGAATCAAGGTTCCACTATGCAAGTAATTAACGTTCCTTTAAGGCTGTGTTGTTGCATAAATTCGAAGTCCCTATTGCTTGTCTGTTTGAACAACAGATCAACATCACGGCACAAGGGTGGTAACCCGAAAGCGCTACGTTTTACTACTAAGCCTGAGTCCGAAGAATCTCAGTGCAGTGCATAAACTCTGTAGCACTGCCGGGGATCCTGAAACACTTTGGGTAGATTTTTAACTCAAAATTGTACCGGGTCAACACCGTTAGGCTACTCTTTTCGATTTCAAACTGCTAAGGGATTTCTTCTTCGTGCTCAACAATACACAGGGTGTCTGATCTTCCCACCCAGAGACCAGGGAAAATTACTAGAAATCCATGTGACAAAATCTCAGCATTCACCGTGGCCTACAGAACTTGAGGCGGACACCATGCCTCAAGACCACTCAGCCTAGTCCTTACTGCATACTTTTGAAAGGTCAGCGTAAGAACGGATGCGTACAAGGATGACATTTATATGAGTCAAAAAAGGCCTGCACATATCTTCACCATTAGTAGCTGATGATAAAGTTTCTGCTCTCAAGATAAATGAGTGAGACTGATAATAATCATTACAGCACCCATGGAAGACAATTTATATTTAACAAGTTAACACACATACAGGTTCGAACTCACAACAATAAACAGCTGCACAAACTGCTGCTAAGTCTTTGGCTAGACCATCTGCAAACATCTTCAGGGTGAGTGACATTTAACCCTACCAGGACTGCACAACAGTGATTAAAACATGGTGACACAAAATGCCACCATTCTGACAATTCTCCTAAGCACAAGTCCCACAAACCCCATGCTACCGTAGGGTTAAATTAGTGCCCCCGTCGACAGTTACAGAGTAACATAAAATCCGGCCGGGGTGGGGCTTTAACATTTTTAAAAACAGTGTCGCATGCTAGGACAGGTTAATTTCAGCATCACCTAAACATCTTTAACTTATGAATTATTATATTTTTTTTTTTAAAGATTCTTCTCACATCACTGGCACATTTTGCTAGAGCCATATTTTTTACTGATCAGTCATCGCTAAATGGGTGATGTCACAACAGGCCAGCCAATTTTTACTTCCCAGGACATCATCTAATATCCCTAGGGACTATCAACCGCGGGGCGCTGATGCATATGTTGAAAGGGGGGGGGGGATCTGAGCACCTATGGACATGTTTGGAGTGCAGTGAAGATAACTCAGGGGGGGGGGGGGGGGGGGGGGGGGGGGGGGGGGGGGGGGGGGGGGGGGGGGGGAATTACTTTATAACTCATAAGTAATATCCCTTTCAGGCTGGGTCGACCCAGTCAGTTTTCCCCCCAAAATTTGCCATGATGCAGATCTGAACTCCAGATATTTAGGAAGGCAGGGATGTCTAGCCACTGAGCCACCGCGGTTCCTTAAAGACATAAAAGTAGATCAAAAGTATTACTAAAACAGGTGAATGAGAAGCGGAGGAAACTTAGTGAGGTGCACACAATGCAACAGATAGGACAGTCTGGTGTCACCAGGTACTCAGTTTCCAACTTTATAGCAAAAGAGGTCAGCCTATATATGCTCTGTTCCTATGCCAATAAAAACCATAGAGAATGTCCACCATTTTCCATTGCTGAAAAAATGTACAAAGACTGCAACCTGGTGTGAGGTGGAAATAAAAGGCAGAAACCGACGATATTAAAGCGCTTATAAAGCTCTGGCTTAGAATTGTAACTACTGATAATAAGCATATTAATATACATGCTGAGGCAACAATGGTCCTGGCACAAGTTCTAACCATGGAAGACTTTTCTTAAGGCGAGCAGGTCTTGCTGGTCATTGGCCATTGCCGTGAGCTATGACTCCCATGTCTATAACAATATCGTCTGGAAAGATGCCGATACAACAATTCCGAGATTCACCACAGCAGTAATTTACAGAGATAAAAAGAGAGATTACCATTTAAAAAAAAATATCAAGTCAACACTCATCCGGTATAAACAGGCATGTTCTTGCCATGGAGACATTAAAAACAAAAGCTAGTTGTGTCACAGAGCAGGAAATATTGTATACATAGTGGAGAAATTACATGCAATCAAAATATGGTTTCCCTGTGGAGAAATTATTTGCAAACAACATATGGCTTTCTTGTGGAGAAATTACTTGCAACTAATATATGATGTTCTTTTGCGGGGAGATTCAACTCACTAACTTAAACCAAGCTACTTAAAGAATAATGCTTTGTGCAGCAGGACAATGAATTAAAGAATTCCCACACTGTTTAGAAATTACATTTTGCATTAATTTTTTTTTATTCATTAACTTGGAATAAAGAAACAGGTGGTTGTTTAACAAACTGCTGATTCAACACCAAATATGCCAGTGACTGCTGAATCACAACCAACTAGGAACAGAAACAACCTTAATAATTACCACCAACTAGGGACAGAAACAGTCTTCATAATCACCACCAACTAAAGACAGAAACAGAATTCATAATCACCACCAAATGGAAGATAAAAACATACTACTGCTGAATCACCACCAACTAGGGACAGAAGGGAACTACAGAATCACCGTCATCTGAGGAACAGAAACAGAATGCTGAATCACCACCAACTAGGGACAGAAGGGAACTACAGAATCACCGTCAACTGAGGAACAGAAACAGAATGCTGAATCACCACCAACTAGGGACAGAAGGGAACTACAGAATCACCGTCAACTGAGGAACAGAAACAGAATGCTGAATCACCACCAACTAGGGACAGAAGGGAACTACAGAATCACCGTCAACTGAGGAACAGAAACAGAATGCTGAATCACCACCAACTTTAGAGGAGAAAAAAGGGGTGGGGGGGATGAGACAGAAACACTGCAGATTCACTAAGCGAAAGATGTAGACTGCAGGTTTACCATTAACTGTTGGTGCAGAGTAACTGGCTGTGAGGTGCGAATGAACTACTTTAGGTAACAACCAACACATTTTTGTATTAAAAAATGAGAATGTAAAGGACTCCTTTATATAATAACAAAAATGCATGAGGGTGATAATAATCAACTCATATGACAACACGTACATCTACTATCCACTAGTTCATACTAGCATAAAGCAAGCCATTTATTCAAACTGGTGTGTCTGAATTCATGACTTCAAATTTGTTTATTTTATTTAAAATATTCATGAATTAAAACTGACATTTTGAAGAAGAAAAAAAGGAGTAAAGGTTCAGATATCACAGCCTAGCTGTAAACCACAATATAGTGTGCCAACAGCCCTTTTAACCTTTTCGCTAAGCTCCATTTCCCTGCCAATGCCGTTTTTCGGGATAGTCTCTAGCGGCATGTTAACAAGGTGGCTAGTTAACAGCATAATTTTGTAAACAATTTTCTTTGCGCTTTCACGACGTTTACTAGACCAGAATATGACATGTTTACTAATAAATTACTTTAAGGAGGTTTCCCCAGTCATGTACATGGCATGGCTTCTTCAAAACCTTTATTACATCTTAATTCTCCATAGGTATCTATTAACGGTCCCAGAGTCACAGCATAAGTAGCTCGATATACATATTTTTAAGGTTCCCGGGATTACATCCGATTTAACACTTCTCATTGTACACGTTTACTGATTACTTCTCTTATATATTTTTATATATATTTCAAAACTATTTATCAGTGGCACAAAAAAATGTTTCTTTCTTTTCTCTAAGGGCTATTTTCTGGAAATTCAGAGGGAACATGACCCATTTTTAAATAGTTTCAGAGGTGAAAGGTTAAGGACAAATGCTAAAGAATAAGAAGAATCTGTCTGATCCAGCAGTTATCAACTACTCTATTTTACATCTGTACTGCATGTATACCAGCTGACAACCTCCACCCCCCAACACACACAAGTACGTCGTAAAAGCCAACTAATTAGGGATGCTTGCTCTACCCACGCCCTCTTGAATATATGGCAAGAACCCCGCATCCACTCAAAGTATATGGCAAGACCCCCATGCTGCCCCCCCCCACCCCATTTGAGTATATATGGAAGGACCCCCAAGCAACCCCTTAAAAATATAAAAATATGGCAAGACCTCCACGCCACTTGAGTATATGGCAAAAGACACCCAAGAAAGTTGTAGTACATCTGTGTGAGAGGTGAGAAACTTAAGGTCTACATACAAATAAGCCAGATCTGGGAAATGAACGTGCAAGCAAACCTCAAGTTCAAGAACAAGACCTCCGTGCAGAAGCAGAAAAATAACTAGAACTTTCTGCTGGAGTTTATAGCCAGTGAATGCAAAAAAGAAACAAATTCAAAGATAACTGTTACAGCACTAAAGCACCGCTAAAAAAAGGTACTGAAGTTAAAACTGCCTGGGAGTAGAAGAGTTAATAACAGGAGGACTAAATTTATGTCATCATACACATCAGTTATTCCAATGTAGCTGGTACCTATAATTATAAATCCAAACTTGCAGGAATTTTATTCTAAAATTGAGAAAAAAAATATATATATATACATTTAGTGAGGATTTCAAAACTGGCTTGTTTCAATTTAAAAATTCAGAGTAAATAAGTTAACTCATAAAAGACATTTCAAAACTGACATAATTCAATTTAAAAACTCAGAATACATAAATTCTTAAATTCAAATGGGAGGAATTTGTAAATTCTAATGGGCTCATGTTTGATAATACTACTTTCACAAATGAATGTGTGATAAATGATGCACACAAGCTGACAGCGACGTGACCGACAAAATACCTAAATCATGTACATGTTCTACAACAGCTATCAAGACACAGATGAAATGGGGTTCATGGGGGAGCCCATCTGCGTCAGGACCTTATCTAGCCACTGCAAGGGTCCGTTGAGATGCAGCTCAATCCAACAAGGGGTGGATGTGACGTCTTGCCGGTGATACTCGGCACCCCAGCCCTTCACGAAGCTCATGCGAATAATACACATCTTGTTCAGCTCATAGACGGCTTCGAACCCATGGTTCACTGACTGCGACAGCAAGGCTGCAAACTCCTGGAAAGCAAGCAGAAGCACTGTATACTTATCACCCTGCTGCGACATGGCCACCATGCTCATCACCTCATACAAGGCTAATCTGCTAATGTTTCTACATGAATTACAATCTTCATGTGACATGTGGGAGCTGCTGTGGTGTAGCGGCTAGAGTCTCACCTGCAGATCTGAAGGTTGTGCATTCAGGTCCAAATGAGTTACACCTTTTTTTTTTCAAAAATGACCTTGGCTTCTAGGTCGACCAAGCCTGAAATGGGTACCAGGTAAAATCCTGGGAAGCACAGGAAGCTGGCGTGATGTTGACTACATCATTCCACAGAGTGCCGACAGGTCTATGAAATATATGTCTAGCACTATATGCCCAATATACCTGAAGGTTCTTCACTTTGTGTCTGTGTGGGTATGCAGCTAATTATGTCTGCAGTAACTGGATGCATAACATCGCGGCATATCAAGCGACTGAGCGCGCCCTGGCTCGGCTGCCAATCGTCTGATGAGCTGCGACGCCTAGCGGCATAAGCAGATATTGACAAAAAAAGAAGAAGAATTAACTGGATGTCTGAATGGAGTGATAGAGGAGTGGGCATGTTTCTTATCATAAGTGAATGTAAGTTAGCATTTGCCATCCACGTTTTTGGGGGTTTTTATTAAATATTCATAGTACACTACTATGAACAAAACATGCTTTACAGATAAAACACATCTACTGTGTGGAAGATGAGTGTTTGGAAGGGCCAAATGATAAGAAGGGGCCTGCTTGGTCAATTTACTGAACTGAAAATTGAAGAGAATGAACCAACAAACAAACCTTTCAAATATTTGACTTTCACACAGCAACTGTATTAAATAAGCATATTTTGTTCAAATATAAAAATTCATAGTATAAATGTAAAGTACAAATGCAAAAACATACATGACAAATAAAGAACTTAAATATACATGCACAAATACACACACATGGTGGTAGACCTACAGACACACACAAATACATATACTAAAGCGCACAGACAAAAAACGCACAGAGACATGGGAGAGAGAGAGAGAGATATATATATATAGAGACAGAGAGAGAGAGAGAGAGAGAGAGAGAGAGAGAGAGAGAGAGAGAGAGAGAGAGAGAGAGAGAGAGAGAGAGAGAGAGAGAGAGAGAGAGAGAGAGAGAGAGAACAATTCTTACCTGGTTATTGAAGATCTTGAGACTACAATTGGGCGGGATCTTGCAGACAGTGGTCGGGTGGAAGCCATGAGAGTAGTTACAATTGCGACTCTGAACAAAGATACTGCTGTCGCTGAGACACTCAGCATAGACCTCGCCCCCAACATAGTACAAGTGAACTCCTGTAACAATCCAAGGGTCAGGGTTATAAGTTGCTTCCTGTTGTTATGAAACTATCACAGAGTTTTTTTTTTCTTCCTTTCTTCTTTTCTCTAGATCAGTAGGTTTTAATTGCTGTGGCCTACTCTGAACAAATTTAAGAGATCTGTGATATTTAAGTGTTCAACAAAATACCTGTAACCTTTCTAACTGGTGATTCTTATACAGATTTACATTTGTTTTTAAATACAACTTTTTAACAGGTGACTCTTATATAGATTTACTTTTGTTTTTAAATACAACTGATAAAAAGTACGGGGTTCATGGCAGCAGATCTTCAAAAACAAGAGGGTCCTTAGGCGGTATCTAACTGGGAACCACTGATCTAGACCTGAGCAAATACACAGGGGGCAGGAATGGGTCGACACAAACACACACAACAGCAGTTTCCATCAGGTCATTATTATGTTAGGAAGAGAATGTAGAGAGTGGTGCAACGGTATGGCAAAATTAGAGCGACAACAACTGGCAGATGACAAAGCTGAGCTAGATGATTCAACAGTGTACACTGATGTTTAATTAGGGTGTGTAAGATTTGGATGGGGATTTTCAGCTAGAATGGAGGGAACAATTGTGGCAGAACAAAATGGAGCTTTTTTTTTTATCCACTTCAAGCATGGGGATGGAAGTGGAGGCAATCACTGCAGCTCTGATTTGGACAGAAGAAACCAAAAGTTATCATAGGAATTATTGTGTCGGATCAAAACGGACTAATCTGGTATGAGTTGATATCAAGCATCAGTGTGCCAACATTGCAGGGAATCACGTGGATATACAGTCCGGGAAATGCAGGAGTGCAAGGGAATGAAAGAGTTAATTTTCTGCCTACAAAAGCAAAAGCTATGGAAACTCTCGTACTGGACAAGGGAGATTTTCTGAAGACCATACATGAAAGAATGTGGACAGAAAACACGAGACTAGAGGAAATAACATGTGCAAGAATGTGTGAACGATGAATTAAGTGTGGATCCGGCAAGGAGGGACTATGAGAGGAAGAGAACGATGTGTGTATAATCAGTGTGCTTCTGGAACAGTTTGCATCTACACCTTAAGACATTTGCTGCGGGAGACGGAGCACCTATGGGTATGCCCGATGTGCTTTGATGTCAATTCTTAAATTAGTAATCAGATCTAGACCATGTTTTGCTTTTCAGCGTCAGGCTTTGGATAGGAATCTGCCGTGAGTCTTGTGTGTGCGAACTATGGAGATGCTTCAAAACACAGCTTCAAACATTCCACCTATCGCATCCTCTGCAATGAATGGGCGGTGACCTCTAGGTCTGCTTTTTGCAAACTACACTAGTTAATTCAAAAGAATGTTTTTAAGGTGAAAATCTGAATAATGCGGACACAAACAAAACACTACTCAATTTACTGCCTAGCATATTTAGCTGTATCCCATCAGATGCATTATTATGTATCTTCTTCTTCTCTGCATTCACCAGCTGTAAACTCTGGCGGTTTGTTTGTCCACTTCTGGAGTGCTGACCTGTTCCAGGACCTGAGTGTGGCATGCCCATCCATTTTACAGATCTGACTCATTTGTACACAGAATATTGGTTTCTTGTATCTCAGGTCTATTTTTGTTTTTCCTAAAACCAGGCCCCGGAACCGTAATAAGGAATTTTTACTACATAATAAAGCATGAAAAATTTATCTTTTTCGTTGAAATTTATAAATCACATTGCCAAGTTACTGTAAATTCTAGGGAATCTCCACGGCGAAGTGGTCAAGCCGTTTGCATCGCACTCTGAAGGTTATGGGTTCGTTTCACTGCATTGACGTTCAGTTCATGAGTGTAATTTTTACAGAGATCCCCAGGGATCATGCCCAGAGCTACAGAGTTTGTGTGATGCTCTCGGCAAGCGGCTAGCCATTCTATGAAGAGAGACTGAGTCATATGGGATATAACTCATTTTTTAAAGCTGTACATCTCTCCACTTGAAATTGAAGAAGAACCAATTGATTACCATAGTAAGTTCAAATTTATTGAGTGATATTTCTGTCTGAAGCATTAACTGGATAAACGATTGTAGTGTGCGGATTTGCACTAAAACACACCAATACTGACTGAGCAAATAGGACCTCAAAACAATAAGTAATGTTGTTAAGGAATTGTAATCTAGGAGATTGGCAGTCGAAAGTTTGACCAAGGTGGACGTGTGATCCGGCCTTGGTGTGGATCCTTGAGGACGTTCTACCCCGGGATGCCATGGAAAGATTCGTAGTATAAAGTCTGAAGAAGACAGACGTGTGGTCGTGTCTCAGTGGATCCGTGAGGACGCTCTACCCCGGGACTCCACTAGAAACCTCAGCCGAAAGCTGGTACATTGATATATTGCGCTCGGCAGGAAGCCGGTATAATTTGAAGGAAGGGATCTTCAGGCCGAATCACCAAGGAGGGACATTGCCCTGTTCAGACTGCAGAGAGGAGATCGATGTGACCGTCCAAACTCTCAAGGTCAGATTGTTGACCTGTGCTTTTAAGATGTCATTTGAATTTCTCTAAAGAGTGTGCGTGCGGTAGCGAGTGTTGGCGTGTTTGGGTGAGTCTTCACCAAGAGTTCTATTATTTGCACATTTTCTCATTTTGGATCAAGTGTGTTCGACAATATACCATTGGTATATATTCATGGTCTTCAGCATTAACTGTCAGCGTTCGGACGCATTGAAGTTCATTGTTAACATTACAGGCGTCCTGTTTGGAAATTAATCTCATACTGTTCTGCCACACTTGGCCGGTGGCATTGTAATTTATTTGATGCCGTATTTTATTGTACTCAATCGCACATTTCAATGGGGACCTATGCCTCCAGCACCGGAACGCAGATTTCACAATGACGAAGAAACCCAACACAATGAAGTCAATCCTTCTTACCATGAACATTTAAAATGCAGCTGATACATCCAAATGATCCAAGAACTTACCTCGTCCTATATGCCGCCGTGTGTTCTCGATGGTGGAGTTGCGGTTGACATTGGACAGCAAACCTAAACAAAATCTGTCAGTGCGAGAGGGGTCAGTGAAACCGTCGACAACAATGCTATTAGAGGAGGCCTGGAATTGCTCCCCAACACGGTTGTTCAGCTCATAGTAGACAATGTTACACCAGTAGTGTGGCTCTTGGTAATTTACTGGTTGCTTATCTGTCAACAAAAGAAGAACTAATGTTAGTCTGTTTCAACTTCACAGCAAATGGATGGCCAATAACTGATCATGTTTCCGCACATACTACATCTACTGGCCACCAGTGTGTCTGCGAAATGTTCAACAGTCTTGGCACAGTCAAAAGCATGTAAACACACTAAATGCACAAGGCAACCACCAGAGGTTCCCACTCTAACAATCTGCCTCTGGAACTGCAGTTCATCATTGCTAGGAAGCTGCAGTCATGATAAACCAGCACTGCACACAAATTACTGCATAAGGCATTACCACTAGATCTATGGCAATCAGTACCTCACCTTTTTCTGACAATGCAGTTCACAACACAAGTCACCATGGGCATAGAATGAAAATCCTTCCACAGAAAAAAAAAGAACCACAGCTCACAGGGTTGCAGCAAGCACCTAAGCCAGCATAATTATGTACAGAGCTAGAAAAATCCTTGAATGTCACACAGAAGGCAGCTACAGTGGCTGCCTTGGCAGCTTTTTCACCTGGCGGATTCGGGGAAGTTTCAAGAAGCATCAAGCAATTTTGATACACTAACATGTGTTGTCAGTTTGGAGAGCAATCTCTGTTGTGCCTTATCCAACATTAGACCAAAATAGCAGACATCTAGTAAAACAGTGTCAACCACCACATTACTAGTTGATGATTGTTAACTTATGTTATACTCCCCGGGGAGTAGAGGAAATGTCTAGCCAGCAAAGACAACCCACCCCCCCCCCCCTCCCCCTAAAAAAACCCCTTACAGATCCTATTCGCACATTAAAATTCCTTTGCGGGCAGGATATTATACGCATTTCCCACATAGAGTGCTGACGAGTCTATACAGCTATGGACCTGCCATACATCGTCATCTCATGAGGCAGACAGGGGTCTTTAACTTCTTTGTTAAACACTTCCACATCAGTATATAAATATAGCAAAGAAGAACAGAAAATTAGTAACCATAAGAATGAGATTTCTGAGAGCAGGGGTGACCAAAAGAAACAAGCAGTCATCAAAAAGAATTCTTCTTTTTCTTTACATTCACCAGCTAAAAACAATTTGGTTGTTCGTCTACTTCTGGACTGTAGTCCTGCTCCAGAACCAGACTTACCTGCACATCCGTTTTACAGATCCGAACTCTTCTCCATGCAGTTCGAAAAAAGCTCCCAATTAGTCGACTTTTACAACATGCTTTTGGGTAGGTCTATTTACAGACAACAAATAAAAGTTCCCTCTCTGCTAAGCTTGGAATGTCATACCATACAAGGTATAGACCAAAAGAGGAAAAGGATATATAGATCATTAGGCAGACCAAGGAGAGATAACAATGTATGGCATCGTCAAGTGCAAGAAACATGCCTTAAATATCTTTCGATATCCAAACAGATACAAGTGGAAGTGAAGAAGAAGAATTAACAACAACATAATGAATAACAGTACCTCCACCAATAGGCAGTCGCTGGCCAGGCATGCGGGGTCCAAGTTTTGACAGAGAAAAAGTTGGATTTGGCAGTGGAGGTCCAGAATGTGCTGGATTGGGCTGCAAGTTGGTGTCCATAGGCTGGGGTCCATTCTGGTTGTTCTGGTTATCATCGTGGGCTTGGTAGGCTGGTGGGGGAGTGTCCGCTGTCAAATATGCAGCAACATGACATATTTAAATTACATACTGAAATAACTGTCTTGTCAGAACTGATCCCATTCCATATATTCATGGAATACTATAATTTTCAAGCGTGGATGGAGATTTGTGTGACACATCTCACTAAAGAGTTAAGTGATTTTTAAATATTACTGTTTGTAACTATATCATATTGGTAAACCCACCAAGCATTAGCATTATGACCACAGCTGCTGGTCGTACATGAGTCTGGGTATCTAGGCTTTTGAATCACATATCTTTCCCTAAATGCAGAACTAAACATATGAAAAAGGAAAGACTTCTGCAATGCCTTCCAACTGACAACAAGAGTGTGGTTCAACAAAAATCAAAGTTATTGAAGCCTGCACCCTGAGCGAATTCCCTTATAGCAGCAAAACCTGGACTCTACATGACCCTAAAAAAAAAAGACAATATATTTACACACACGTATATATATATATATATTATAATACATAACAGACATATACCACCACACAACCAAAATTCTAGAAATGATCTTGTACCAACATCTGGACCACTGTAAAAGATGTCAAGTATTCCCAGATATATACAGAAGGTATCTATTCTTCTGTCTTTTCACTCCCTCCTCTTCCTTTTCTCTAGATAAATGGCTTTCAACACAGAAGTTTCAAGCCATTTTGAAACTGAGTGCATTTGTGCCGCCAACCTGATGTGGAGAATGATCTCAGTTCTGCCTAGTACAACATTATATCAAAACTAGAAGATATTGTCAAGATAAAACCGTGTCAACAATTACACTAATATTTAGTGGACACTAAATTACCGGTTGGTCATTAGTTTCTTTTTTTTTGTTTTGTTATCTGACACTTTCATTTATGTGGATATTTTTTTCCAAACTCTTGTTAACAGTGCTTGCAGTTTTTCTTTTTGACAACCCACCCCCCCCCCCCCATGTTAATGAAAATGATTGATAGATGCATTCTAGGTTGTTCGTTCGCTTCTAGACCTTAGTTAGGAGTTTTACATGCACATCTATTTTACAGATGTGGCTTATTTATATGCAAAATGCTGGTTTCTTGTCTCTCAGGCAGATGCACCCCGACTTTAGAAGAAAACCACCCTTATTAGTTGCCTAGTAGAACACTTTTGTTAGGAAGGCAGTGGATCTATTATTTTCCCTCAAAATTGGGCTCCAGAATACATATGGAGACAAGTTCCCAGCTTAATGATACAGGAAACAAAAAGGAATCATAACAATGCCTGGACGTGTTACCTGGGAGACCAAAGGGGCTGCCAGGCCCAGAACCTGGTGTCTGTGGAGAATGCTGCTGTGGAAACGGGTAGGTGATATTATGTGGCATCGATGGCTCCGGGATCTGCTGGAATGGGGGCAGAGCTCCATGAGTTGGGTACTCACTGTATCGGGGTACCAGCACGGGAGGCAGCACTAGGGAAGAAGCAAGAGAAAATAACTTGTCAGAGTTTTACAGCAGCTCGGTCGACCATTCCTACACAACTAAACAGACCAGTCAACTGTTCTGAAACCATTCTCACTGCGCGGATTTTTATTTTTCACCATTCCAATAGTTCGGAGAACTGTTCTTAAACTATCTAACAGATCGAATAACTGTTCTTTCACTACTCCAGTAGCTTGAGCCACTGTTTCTTCACCATTCCAACAGCTTGGCCATCTGTTCTTTCACCATTTTATTAATACATTACCTAAATGGTGAAACCGTTCTCTAATACTGATTCTCTAAAACTAAACTATTATACTAATCACCATCATGTGCCAGGAACATCTAGTGATAGTGATCACAGTTTGTCACCTCACACGATCATCAGAAGCACAGATCAAGTTAGTATTCTTGTCCCACCCATTTACCTCTTTGCCTTTCATTTGCTCCTTTCTCTATCAAATTTACAGAGAATCATCAAGGGCACTAAAATGGGAACGAAAATGATGTTCAAGAGAAACCCTAGGACAAAGGTTGGGTATAATGGATCTAAACAGTTGGGCACAGTGGATCTAAAATACTGTTATCTCTCACCCTGACTGCATATTTTGTCACACTAAACAATTCACTCGGAGAAATACGCAGCTAAGTGGTCAAGCCATTTGCCTCCTGCTCTGGAAGTCGTGGGTTCTATTCAGATGTGTCGTAGTTTTTATGGAGATCATTAGGGATTACTGCTCAAGCTACGGAGTTTATGTTTTATGTGATGCTCTTGACAGGCAATTAGCTGATCTGCGGAGACAGACTTGGCATTATAAAGCTAAATCCTCTCGACTTCTTGCATTTCTTCTCTCAAACCGATCTTATTCTCCCCCGTCCCATTAATAAACCAATAAGTTAACAACTGACCTGGACTTTCAACTCTCCGGTAGTGGTAAGGATTGATGCACACCTCCTTCTGCTTGGCACTGAACGGGTACTCGCAGGTGTCCAGGGGCTTCAGCTCATGGTGTGACTGCAGGTCTGGCCACCTCCACACTCGACAGTAAATGACATGTGGCAAGCCCTTGCGATGTGACACTTGCAAACGCCCATCTAACGACCGCTGGATTGTTACACACTTTGTGTGAGGATCCTTGCAGGACAGCGCCTTCTCCAGATCTTCTAATGCACCTGACCAAACAGACACAAAAAGCAAACAATAATGCCACATCCAAGTCTCATGAACAGTTTCCACAGTAGTTTTTGTGTGAACATTTACATCCACTGCTGGTCTGCTGAACATGTCGCAGTTTCCTCCTTAAAGAAACACTATAAAACCAAAAAAGACTGAGAAATGACAAGATTAGGAAAAAACTTGCAATAATAACCATCATTAAATTTACTGAGAAACAAAGACTGAAATGGTTCGGCCACATAGAATATATCCAGCTATGCCGGCAGTGACAGCATACAACATGAAAATGGAAGCACGAAGAGAGGGAAATCTGAAAAAATATGGACTGACAAAATCAGCGACAGCCTTAGACTTTACAACATAACAGCATACTCAGCAAATGAGCAGGCCTTGCCTCAGCTACATAACATACATTAATGACACCTAGAGAGACAGAGCTGGTACTTTCAGAAGAAAGAAGAATGTCACCAGGGACCATCAAGAGATGATGCTTGCTCACTCAGCCATGTTTTCTTTGTCCTTGAAAAGTTCCACTGCTAATCCTCTCTAGTCCAGCCCATCTATTTACAGGACATACTGCAGTGATACATGTAGGAGAATAACACACATCAGTCTGACAAGAGTCTACTATTGGGATATGAGAGACAGAGACTTACTGAGATTTACTGTAGACAACCTCCACTGTGGAGCTGGTACATGACTGACTGTCACGAAATTACCTTTACCTAATCTATAGCAGATACTGTCAAGGGTATGGGAAGTGGTAGGTCTTTATATACTAGTTCAAGTGCATACAAGATTAGTTGAACAGCCCTTCCTTCCCAGAAAACTATCAAGATACAAATTTGGTAAGACCAAATCTATGATTCTGGTGATCAATTAGGATGGCAAATTTGTATGCAGGTTCCAAGGCCATACCTAGCGTTTGGAGAACCCCCCCCTCGCCCCCTCCCCAACATATAATAAAAGGTGACTACTTAGGGGTTAGATGAAATCTGATGTGCCAAAAAGCTGAAAATCACAATATAACAAATCAACCACTCTTTTAAAAGCCAATGAGTTGAAAATGGCAAACCATGGCCGCCTGTGCTTACTGGCATTTGTAATGATGAAAATGATTTCCAAATGAAAAACAAATAGGTTATTTATCTCATTTAAAATTTGACATCAAAATTTGATATTAAAATAGAAGGAATAAAGCTTACACAAGTCAATAAATTCAAATATTAAGGGTGGCAATCAAAACACTAGATTTTTTTTTTAGTATCCAGAAGCCATGAGTTGTTAACCCTTAGGCTCGGTATTATGAATATCGCAACCCTTCGGCCTTGATTCCATGATAAATACCGTAAATCTGGGAGAAATGTGGCTTTTCTGCCTACCCCTGGGCGTGAACCCGGACCACAAGGAGTTTGTCACCTGGTCACCGCGCAATCCGGTTTAGCCAACTACGCTAGCGAGCCGGGCAAAACATTAGATAGAAGATCTTAGACGGAGATTATGAGCAGGATGAGCCAAGCAATAACTGCACTTCAGAAAATAAGAAAGTTTCTTCATAAAAAAAAAACAAAAAAACTTGTTCTTGGAATGTCAAAATGTGGTAGCAAAATGTTCTACTGTAGTTAGTATCTTTTGATTATCTCTAGGAAATTCAGGTGTGCTGGGAAACTGACAGGCAGACAGACTGGCTGGTAGTTTGATGCACTACAAGCTAGATATAGTTAATACCCTTTGGTTTCATAGAATTTCAATGTGAAAAAACAAATTAGGAGATTGGAGACAGGACAGTTGGGCATTTTTAGATACTTGTTACAAATAATGAAAATAAAAGGATTGGGAATATGTCATTCAAGTAGCACAGCATCTTCATCATGCAGCAGGTCCTTTGCAGATCATCGCTCTCATCAAAACCTGTCTGAAAGACACTGTCTTTCACTAGAACTCCCACCTCATGCACTTTCCAACAAAGAAGTGACATATCCTGTGCCAATTTTTGTGCTGGCTGGCACCATGCCTTGTTCTATTCTTTCTGATTCACTGTGGCGCTGGATATTACCAAAATAGTTACAGAGACAAGATGCTGTTTATTAGTCAATCTTCCTTGATGTTCAGAGCTTTTAGAATATCAGTATTTTTATTAATATTTTTTATAAATAAAATGTAATGACCAGTGATCAAAGAGGTAGAGAATGACAAATGCTAGATGGTGTAAGATGGTGGCATAAGTTGTGCAATCGTCCGAATCACAAATCAGGTCAGCAATCCTGTCCCACACATTCATCTCTGTATACCCATTGCTCTTTTCCTATCAATCATGCAAGCTGTAATCAAGTTCTCAAGTCAATTCCTGCCTACATGTGCCCCCAAAAAAACATAGAGACATAAGATAACACCAAACAGAGCCTATCCAGAGCACCAAAGACTGCAGTCTATAGAAGACCAAGAACACGTTCACCTTCTAACAAGTCAAACGATGATAACACACAGACAAACATGTAATACATGCATTCTAAACTCTGGATTCTACACTCCATCCATTACATCAATACATTTTTTTTTTTAAAGCTTGCATTCTTTTAAGCTACTTACTATGAATTTACCTACCTTTCTTTTTCTTTAATTTCTTGACAAGGGAGTCTACTGCCTTTTCTGCCCACTTCTCTTCCTCATCTCCTTGCTTCCAGCCCAGCAGTCTTTTAACAGCGGGACTTGTAAAGGTGAAAATGCTGGACAGTGGTGAGGTCATGCTGTTGCCTGGTAGTGATGATGGAAAAAATTATTCATATCTCTGAGACACAGGATCATGTAGATACCTTACATTCATGTGTAGTAATTTCCTTTTAGTTCCAGACAGTTGTCAGTTTAACTCAGTATTTTGTACATAGTTATTACCTAAAGCAATAAATCTTTAAATTCAGAGACTGAAAAAAAAAAAAAAAAAAACAGCTCAGATGTCTTGAAAGAGGTGAGGGCTCACAGACAGCTTATCCCAAACATCAGAGACAGTCATCATTCTTTAGTCATGTTATGAGGAAAAAGAAACATCTCCTTCAGTGGTTAATGAAAGGTCGATATGCTAATAGTACCTGCTGCAATCTTAAAAAAAAGTCCACCTATGTTTTCTTCATTTAGCTTACCACCCAGAGGAGGGCAACATCCATCTATCAGCCTGCTCATATAGGGAATACACAATAAATGTGTGGGGTCTTAACGGGTATTGAATCACTTAACATATTAGAATTGGGCTCTCCTTGTACGCCAGATTTCAGTCCCCTGGCAGCATTGCAATTACGGAGTGGAGAAGAGGGAGCGAAGAATTGTAATAAAATAAACTTGCTACTGAAAGAGTTAAGGCTACCAGTAAACGTTAGCAAGGTCTCATCACATATTTATGTACCTCATCCCATGCCATATTTCTGAATCCCATGCCATATTTCTGTGCCTCATCCCATATTTCGCAACATAAACAAACATTGACAAATCAAGGTGGTTCAACTGGTGGCTGCCTTATGAAAACACTATACTGTAAATATTATTATAACTGCAAAATGCCAACTTCTACACAGACATTTTGCTGGTAACATTGAATATTTACCATTTAAATAAAGTATGAGGTGTATGGACACAGAGAAAACATGGTTGGGAAAGGGGGGGGGGGGGGGGGGGCTGATAAAATATCTCCACACCATACATATTTTCTAGGCATAAAAAAGGACCAAAAAAGGGAGAGGGCATAAAGCTTATGGGGGAAGAAGGGGCTGATTAGCCCCCTTGCGATATCTGGGGGGGGGGGGGGTTTGGAACTACAGAGACTCCTGGTTTCAGCATCCCCTTAAAGTGTAAGGAAATTATGGGTGTTTTAGGAGCTGTTTATATGGGACATGGCAACTGGTGTTTGACTAAAGGAAAGGGGCACTAATTATGGGCGTTCATGCTTTCCAACACACAACTGGCGATTTTAATGTTACTCAGATGCAAGTATGGTTGCAGCTTCTCTATTTATTCAGCCCGTCGAAATGTTAGTTTAAACAATAAACACAAAACTTATTTCCTGAACCTTTTTTAAGTTACCAACCAGGTTTATCTGAATTTCAGTAAAAGGAAATCTTAAGCGCAGGAATGAGTAATTTACCTTCTTACAACTTCGTTCAGTCGCCTCTTCCAACAAGGTCTCTCCTTTTCGGCTGCTGGAGTTAGCGGACTCTGGTCCCCTATCAATCAACAATGCCCTAGAAACAAACCCCGACAATAAATCCTCTCTCAGACTTCAGAAAGTCA